GCGTCAATGGGGAAATGATGAAAACTGAGGTATGGTGGTAATTGTTGATTAGCCGAACATAACGGAACGCTTCATTGACATGGAGATGAAAATACTGGGCCATTTTCTAATTTTTCCTAGATTCTGTCAGACATACTACCATGAACAGAGTGCGCTGGAAGTTGCATGTTTCTAAACGTCTTCCTGGTTTGTGACATAAGCGTGAATAGAGCCTATTTCGCTCAATCTGCCCCAAAAGGCAACGATAACTGCTGACTTATCCTACTGCTGATTGTGACAAAGAAGTGAATAAAGCATTTCACTTTATTTTAATAATGGACTTGTCACAATTATTCCAAATGATTGCAGCCCTATTAATATATTTAGATATGTTTAGACATAGCCGATAGCAATAAGAATATACACGACATATATGGCACAGGTCTGTTAAAAAGCATTACAAGTGAGTAGTCAGTCAATGCTGTAGACTCAGTTAGTCATTAGCGCTGCTGCCAAAACCCAATTACAGCCTGTCTGTGGGGTGATTGACAGGCAGACAGGCGGCGGAGTTGTAGACAGGAGCTGGGCCTGTACAGCTGTGTGCTCACTGCTAATGCTAATGGTAATGAATGAAGTCACTGCTCTCCAAAATAGAGCCAACGCGACGACGCACACGCTGCAGCTGTCTGTGGAGCAGTGCCCAGGATGTGTCACCCAGATATGGGACAAGACTGGCGGCGGAGCCAATGGCAAGACGGGACATCTGATTAAATATAGGCTAAGACGCTGTTTCAAAGGCATATTGGTATCTTAAGCTGCGTTTTGTTCACATCTATCACCATCTGATTCGCTTTTTACCAGATGTTTGTTTGTTTGTTTGTTTGAATTACTGTTCAATTAATAATTTCCCTTGTGGATACATGAAGTTGTGTTTTATTGCGTCTTACATTTTGGCATTTTTTGATTGCTTCTAATATCAAATCTAGTCAAGTCTCCTCAATATTTTTTTCAATAACTTTATATATTTTAACACTTCTTTTTAGCTTGTGTTGTACATCTATAAATTGTCAAAATCTACATTGTTAGGGACTTAAAATTTTGTGATGATAACTGATCATGAATACTTACTGTAGTGAAATTAATCGCTTAACCTACTTTAAGAAATAACATTCTTTTTAGTCCATGCCAGGAGAAAACTGACCTAAATTACTGTACATGATTCATCCAAACCTCTGCCAGTAAAAAAATAATGGTGTCTGAAACCACGAGTATCGACTACACTGACAAAAAAAAAACGTTTCCTTCCCTCAATATTGCTTCATGTTGGCGGGGGTTTTTCCCATTCAGTATTTGCGTAATCTAGATTTAGTACAATTTGTCTTGTAAAACACCGCGCACATAAACAAAATGTCCCTCCAGCTACCAGACGACTATTACACAACTTCACACATCTATCAGCTCAAAGGAATCCGTCTAGCTTTTTCTCACTTGAAAATAACCCAATAAAATGACGAAACATGACGGTGTACTCTGAAATTTCGCACCAATTAAATAATGTCTGCCACATCACAAACTGAAGTGTCTATTGAGAAAACGGACAAGCGACGCCGGGGGAGAGGAGGGGGGGTAGCTTGGGTTTGCTAATAGGAAATGTCTTAGCTTTTTCAGATGGAGCACAAACATAGGGCAGGATATGGTCGTGGAAGACATGGGAGAATTTGGAAAAACAAACTTCCTCAATGTTTAGCCTGTTCGGGTCACTTCTTATGATGGGGTCTCGAAAAAGTTAAATAAATGCACTAGTAAATGCTAGCTTTGACGCTAATGGTGATTATAGGGTGCACTTGGGTTGAAGCTAATTTCCAGCCATTTTCACTTTTGAGGAATTGTACTTATTATGCTGATTGTTAGTTGCTAAAAAGTACAACATCGTGAATTTCAAATTCCAATACATGCCAAATAAACACATCTGGTGAAATAGCATAAAATAATATAACACTATAACCATATTCTAGTAGCCAGGCAGGCGCCACCTAGTGCCTCTGCTCAATTTCATTTCTTTCCAGTGACTAGGTCAGGAATCAGAATACACTAGAAGGTTTGCACAAACCCCAGAAGTGCAAGTTCGAGCACCAGCCAACCAGCAAAGAGCCATACATTCTGTGTTGGCCACGATTCCCGAGATCGAGGATTTAAAGCCGGAACAAAGAGAATGTTTGGTGAATTTTATCAAGGGGAGAGACGTTATTGCCCTTCTTCCTATGGGATTTGGGAAAAACTTAATATACCAGTTAGCCCTATTAGCAACGCATTACATACGTCACGACCAAATAGCAGCGATTGGTTAAATAAAAAAAGTACCTACCTACCGCTGAGCGAACGAATTCTAACGCTGCGAGGTCAGACGGTTTCCACGAAGTGAAACCGGCTGATGAATCAGGATAATATTCTAGTATACATATTATTATTTGTACCCTACACATGGTAAGATTGAGTGACGATGTTGAAACCAATGTATTGGATAAGAAAAAAGAAACATTTTGATTATTTTTAATATTTATACCTTTTGAATTCGTTTACTGGTCTATGCTGAAAATGTGTTTGTAAATTTTTTTTTTTTCCATAAACTTTCCTAATCCTGTCTTGGTCCTACTTTGCATCTTTCCACTTTCACCATATTCCAGTGAAACAGGCCAGTGAAGGTTGTCCCAGTTACATGACATGACACAGGTTTGGTTCCAAAGATATTTCTACACCTACTTCCTCTAAATATGTCCTTGTTATTTCTTGGTAAAGCGTCACAAAGTTTTCCTCTAAAGTGCTCCTCTCCTGCTGTCCTCCTGGTAAAAGCTTGTGGACTTGTGGAAGTGGAAAGATTGACTCACAACACCACAGTCTGAGTGAGAGACAAGTCCGTCTGCATGACTTCCTCTTGGGCCTACCACACACTTTCAGTTCCCATAAACATGTATCTCTATGGAGCATAAGGGAAGCAGGTCAGCCTGTTCCCTGGTCAGTGGTTGGGAGGTTAACATTACTAGGTCAAAGGCTAATTGTGATAATTTAGATTGCAATAAGTTAAAAAATTGTTGTGATAATTTTAGAAGCATTTAGAAGTTTCCATTCAATTTATACTCCAAAAAAGTACAATTTATGTAAAGTGGCTTTTGATCTGGCTGTTTTTGTCATCTGAACTGAACTGGTGTCTTTTCTTAGAATGAAACATGAAAGCCTAATATTGCAACATCCCTGGTCCATGGCATTTCACACAGGTCAGGCTGAGAGGGGCGCAGGCATCCTCTCTTTAAACCAACAATCACCTGCTTCCTTTGGGCAGCATTAGGCAAACGGACTTTCCAGGAACTCGCCGCCCAAAGCAAAGACATAACTATGACTGAAAACTTCCATAGTACAATTCAGATTTCAGTCCGAGGTAAATATAGCCCATGACAGCAATGAAGAATGCTCATGTTATTGGTAGAACAAAGTTGAAAACAGGACAAAGCACTGAACAATCAGAGCAGGGTTAACATTGTAAATTAAAGAAGTAAAAAGACTCTGTCTAGCCAGTCTAGCCATGCTAACTTATTCAATTCATTAGTATGTTTATAAATATAGAAGGCTCACTTCCCCTTTGTATAATAAGATTTCATTGGTCAGACAAAACTAAATTGACAAGGCTCCAACCTCACTTAACTATGAAATGAATGGGTCTTGCTGGACAGGTAAGCACTTTACTCATTTTGTATTTAACATATTAAAGAATGTCAAGTTTTATATTACATGTGCTATAGTAAACTGTAACATAAGAATCAGCACTAAAACAGTAGTCACAGTGGGGCAACACAAGCTTAAAAATGTGTTAAAAAGTGCAAGGCATTGAAAATAGATGTGTCATGCAAGCCTCCATGCAAGTGAACAGCGCCATAGGGAACACAGACAAAGTGTACTCTCTATTTCAAGGCTGTGTTTTGTACATGAGTTGTGTCTACGGTTTTGGATGTCAGACGCTTTGTGCATTTCCTTTGCGGTATTGAATCGTCTATAGTTTTGAGAAAGAATGTCGATAGGATCCAAGACTGAGGAATGCGGTCAGGACGCCAGACGAGACAGTATTTCCGCAACTTGTCAAATTTAACTGGGCTAGACATATCTGGCACGCTATGACCGCTCAAAATTTGATAAAGTTGAATTGTGAAAGTATTAGTAATAGTTGTCAAATCGAATGAGAAACTGAGATTGCTCAAGACAAAACACCTACTATTGCCAGAAAACCACTCAATTGGGTCAACCACGATGGTCAAAGCAGGGTCATGAGACATCAAGCACTCAATAACAGTTAGCAGAAGTCAGTCTTTTCACTCTCTCTCACAGCTCTCCCTCTGGTCAGTTAAAAAGCATTGGCAGTAGTGTATTTGTATAGTAATAATGGAAAACCAATAGATGTAAGGCAAGTAAATAACATTTTTAAAGCAAGCCAAGACTGATTATTAACAACCAGTATTCATTATTGCGCAATAATAACACAATGATTTAGCATCTTAAAACAAAACTAGCATCTCCTATTCTAGTTGTTTTCAAATAAATATTAGCATAAGATGACTGAGCAAACATTTGAGTCGTTAGCATTGTAGTGATATTGTGTTATAGTGGGGGGTCACGTAGGCCGCTGCCAGAACATGCTGTTGAAGCAGAGTTAAAGCTGCCTCTGTAGCAGGCCTTTTGTCCAGCCTCATTCAGTGACCCCTGCGTGACCCCGACACAAACTGCACTTCCCCTGGTCCTGCAGCTGTGATGAGAGCAGAGCAGACATGTGTCACCACCTGTTCTCTGCAGCGTACGACCGGTCACCAACGGTTTAAGAAAACAAACCCGAGTGCTGAGCAGACAAAACACAGACTGTAGTGTCTCTGAGAGAAGGCATTATTTCACATTAGGAAACATAAGCTATAACACATGTAGGACACAGGCTCCTATCTCACCACTTACACTCACAGTAATATAAATCAATAAGCTCTTACTTTGTCTAGCGAGCGCTTGAGCTGGAAGTGGAACTTCTCCTTGACCTCGTCGAGACGCTGCTTGAGTTTGGGCTCTTCTGATGAGCCCTGGTACTTGCGGGCCAGCTGCAGGTAGCAGGGCCACTTGGCCGAATCGAAGCCCCAGTGGCAGGTCCTCTTGTCCGGCGACTTGTGCGAGTGCATGACAAACTTCTGCGGAGAGAAGAGCAGCTGGCACTCCACGCACTGGATACAGGGTGCCTCGGGCTGAGTGTAGAACTGGGGCACGAACAGGCCCTGGCACTTGCCCAGACACTGGTGCTCCACCTGGAAACTGCTGTCACTCTCTTTGAGCAGCGCCTGAGCAGACAGCTTCCCGCTGGGGTCAGTGGGCAGCGCCGCCCCGGGGCGCAGCAGAGCATTACACAGGCGCTGGGCGTCGGTCAGCGTGATGAGGCCGCAGGACGGCGCATTAAAGGGCAGGATGCCCAGCACCTTGAGAATGTGGAGCTGCTCGGCATCACAGCGGGAGCAGTACACGTAGAGCTCGTCACACACGGTGTTGATCTGCTGCAGAGAGAAGTCACGTAGCACTGAGTTCAGCACCTGAGGCAGACACAGACGCTTCTCACCCCCCACCACGAAGCATGAGATGGACTCTCCTTCCAGCACTGAGTGGGTCAGTTCTGTGGAGCTGTCACAGGGCACCAGCAGAGGGCCTCCTCCGAGCACAGGGGGTGAGGGCAGGGGGGGCATGCCCGCGGGGGAGTGCTCGTGTCCGGTGCGGGCCGAGAAGGCGGCAGGACCTCCCAGAGAGCTCTGGCTGCTCAGAGTGAACTGAGCCAGAGTGTGTTTAAGTCCAGGGCTGAGGTCCAGCGCTTTAGCCCCACCCACATGTAGCTCCGCTCTTCCCTCCAGCTCCAGCTCTGAGCTGAGACGTCCCTCTGGCAGCTCACGCTTCACTTTGGGAAGCTTCTGAAGCTGGTCCAGGCTGCGCCTCTTCAGGTTCATCTCAGCCATCACACGCTTCTTTATGGGGGCATCCTCCAGCCTTTCTCTGTACAGGCGCTTCAGGCTGCCTTTGAATGCACTCAGCTCTTTGAAAGGGGGCTTCAGGCTGGTCTGGGTGCTTGCCATGTCGAACACAGGTCACTGTCTCTGTCTGCGGTCAAGTCTTATATTCCACTCAGTGAGTCTCTCCAAAAGTCTTTTCAGATGGCACAAATCTTCTGGCTCTTACACACATGCATGGTGCTGGTTGTAGTATTCAATGTTCAGATCCTCTTCTTTTTTTTTCCTCCTGAAAATGAAACACAAAAACATTTTTAAAATCATGCATTATTGTTTTTTACATTATACTATTGTGTATTAAAGTGAAATGATCACATCAGATGGTGTTGTGGCCCATGAAATCCTTAAGAGTTAAAATGCTTTATGGCTACTATCAGCTGAAGGCTGGAGGTCAGTGGCTGTTTGCATGGACCACTAAACCAAATGGCCATTACCATACTTCACACAAACACACAGCTTTTTCAGACCTTGTAATTGAACTCTTCAGAAATTTGCATTTAGTTTTTCACTAAAGGCTTCGAAGCAAACTTCCAACACAAAGTGCGAATTTTAACAAGCGAAACCAGGTGAGCAGCTTGAAAACTCAGGCAAAATTCCCCACAACAACCCTGCCCCTCTTTTCCATGACATTGTGAATGCTAAAGGCTGATACACAATGGTCAAAAACGTGTCACTTTGCAAATGAAAGTGCCCTTCCCAACCATATTGTGCCTTCCCCTTAGGTCTGCTTACCCCACGCTGACCCCATCAGCTCCGTGAAAAACAATTGATAAAAGCGTTAACAGCAGTCGTCCTCTGCTCTCAGTCCTTTCACAGCATGACACGGTGCATTGTGGAAAGCGGTGTTTTCCCCTTTCTACTCTGGGCTTTACTGCGGCGTTACACAGTGGAGCGTACCAAGGTAAACAACACTTAACTGCCTTCCCCAAATTAAAGCCTAATGTAGCTGATAATGGCTGCTACTGCAATATGACACTACATCGAAATAACGCACGGTCCGCAATCCCAGGCTCAACCAAAACCACAATCCTATTAGGGAAAATCACCCACGTTCAATAAAATACCAAAATGTAAACGCTACTAATTTGGTGCAGTGAAGCAATTTGGAGAGTGTCAGTCATTTTTTTTTGCGCCGATCAAAAATGCTGCTCTGCGTAAGGTAACGCACACGAGCGAATGGATGTTTGTAGGCGTTTTACAGCAAAAATCCGCTATAGGCTGATGTGAAAGGCAGTGGCTACACAATTAAACCGCCAACCAATGAATGTGCGACTCTCATGATACATTAAAGGACTCCCGTTTGTCTGCGTAAATCCCCACCCGAGTGAATAAACCATATATCCACTCTTGCCTCCGAGGATGAAGTTGGGTTTGGGTGGTAGGACGGTCAAATTTAGGAGATATATCCAGGTGTCATTCGTCGCTATGCCTTTTTGGTGCAAGGACACGGCGTGTGTGGATCCTCTAGCAGCGTTACTACCCCTCCTCCTTCTCTCCAGACTGCTTTGACTGTACGCTATCCTTCTCCGGTCTGTTCTGCTGGCTCGCCACGACGGCACTGGTATGCAGACAGCGCTGATAATGACATTCACTGTCTACACACTCTACTACGGTCTTGTCTGGGGAAGGCACCGCGGTTCAGCAATTACAACATCGCTCAGTAGAAAATACTACATCACAAGGGGAATTTCAAACGTGACTTGTGCGTAAAAGTCAAACCTAGAAAGGCTGTCCAGCGCGCAAAGGTCTTCCCACACATCCCGACAACCCAACTGAACACGGCACGCTCACAGATCAAATGAGGCCATAATGATAACACAACTGCAGTATATGATAAGCAAACAAGTACATTTTCCTAAAGATAAATCATAACCAAACACTCAGTCCTTTAATCCAAATCATTGCGCATCTTGCTCCACTGACCCAGCGTACCCCGGCATAAACGTCTATAAAACCGTAAAACATCGTAATAACAAATTAATCAAGGTTGTTTGGGGTTGTCAATAAATAACCAAGGTCTGGTGTAAAAGCTAACAACGTGGTTCTATGATATAGTGAAAGAAACGCAACGAAATCAATGACTGTAGTGACTTGAGGGGGTGTCCCATAAGGTTAATATTAATGCGGGCTAACATGCTAGCACCAGACTGCTAACACTACAGCAAAGGCTAAAACGCTTTAGCCGCGGACCCCTACAAAAGCAACAAAACAATCAGTGACTATGGGTAAAATATCTCCAATCGGAAACATAATCACAGCTATTTCCAAATGACAATCCCGAAAAACGCCGTATTTAAAGCCGTAAACACTTGCCCGTGGAGTGAAGTGGCTCGTCCTCCTCTCTGGTCCGTGGTCTTCTCGACACTGTCTGGAAAAGCCTAGCGGAGAGCGCACAGACACAGCCCAGAAGCGTCACTGCACTCGGGCTGCTGAGAGGAGGAGACGTCACCGACTGACGGAAACTATGCGGGGGTGTCTCTGCTTTGTCTGTCCGCCTGTCTGGCCGTGTGTGTGTATATGTGTGTGTGTGTGTGTGTATATGCGTGTGTGTGTATGTCTGTCTGTCGCTTTGGCACGAAGTCTGGGGAGGTTTGTTGTTTCCGAGTTGCCGAGGGCACACGGAGAGGCACAGCGCGTAGAAGTTGTACTAGTGAGTGAATGTAGCCGACTAGTGGAAGAGGACTGCAGTGAATTTGTTGAGGACTTTTCCGATTCAGAATGTATAGTATTTTGTTTCTGAAACCAATGGATAGGAATATTCTATTTATGGTTTGATAAGATCGACATAACCATCGTCAGAGCATAGTTTTGTTTAACCCTATGTGGCTATATAACCTAGTGTGACCAGATTTTAAAATGAAAATCTGAGAAATCCCTGGTTTGGGTTGGTTGGTAATAATAAAACTGTGAAATGAGTGCATAATTGTTATGCACTCAGCACTAATGTGACTCAGTATAGTCACATTTTCTTTGTGTTTTGGTAATTTTTAAGCAGCTTTTCTGTATTTTACATAAACAAATGAGAATTCATGCTTCTCTTTACTGTTGTCAAGTATCAGATTGGTCAAAAATACAGACAACTGGGACATTTCTTGTATGAAACTATGAGAAATTACTGGTTTTGGATAAGTCTGCCGGAACATGGGACACAGGGCTCAAAACTGGGGCTGTCCTGGGTAAATAGGGGCTTCTGGTCACCTTAATATAAGCATATTGTAATATTTTATTTAATTAAATTTAATTAGGAATAGTTATTTAACTTTATTTATGACCTTCCTGTTCTTGTAGTCTACTTTGCGTTGCAATATTGGAATTTCCCTTTTGTAGGACAATAGAGTTCTCTCTTTCGTGGCTTTTACACTTAAAACTAAAGTGAGAGAGCGGTTAGGTTGATTATTTTGTTGCAACTGAACTATGACACAATGAAACTGAGGCATAAAAATTCCTAAAGGCAAAGTAATGAGTAAACATGAGTTAAAAGTTGCAATTTAGGGCACTTTTTGACAACATATAAGAAGCAAAACTAATATACAAAGATATAACATGACTCATTCAAAGAGTGGAGCCGGATTTAAAGCAACAAAGATTGAACTAAACCAATAGATAATGATAGCCAGTTTTATTTTTATTATTATTTATTTATTTTTTACCACAAACAACATGACTTTGTGGAGAGGAGAGCAAGGTTACTGAATAGCCTAGTATTAATGAAAAATCTGTGATAGCGGTTTGGCATTAGTATCATAGGCTAGTTGACAGTAGATTACAGCATATTGCACTATACTGCTTTTTGTTCCAGTTAAGGTTAAGGCATCTGTTTCCCACATAGCCTATATTTATAAATGATTGCGTGCTACTGTATTTGACTCAGCATGACGTACTAATTCACAGTCTGTGATTGAAATACAGTGGTAACGGTGTGACAAATGAATGTGACATTGATTTTCCTGTAATAACATCACTCTCTGGACTGTGGGGACTAAATTAATCTCAAATGAGCAATATTGCACTGAGACTTGGCTCTTCATTAAAGCTACAGTAATACACGAAAATCAGGTGACAGTAGTGAGGACGTGCACGTAACAACATTTGAAACAACAAAGACATATTTGATTTGTTTTGTTTGTATTATGTATGTGTTTATCTATCTAGCTATCTATCTTTTTATCTGTCCATCATCTATGTATTATGATGAATCTTTATTTATTTATAGAGCACTTTTAAAAACAAGGTTTATAAAGTCCTCTACACTCAGCAAAGAACAACAATACAAAAAGCATAAAAATAGCTTACAGGAAGCATACAAAAAGAGACAATGACGCAGATAGTTAACAGCATCATCAAAACAGAATCAAACAATAAATACGTTAATTAAATACAAGTAAAATCAAGTTAGGGGTTAAAAGTTCTGAAATGTAACTTTGTGAAAGGCCTAAACCAGCTTTAAAGGTGATCAGTAACATTTTATAATCAGTTCTATGTAGGTATCTATCATCTCGAGAAGTGTTTTGCCAAAGGACACAAAAGCCCTTCGTCTGAGCAGTGTTCAAACCATAGACTGTGTATATAAATGGACATATCTAACCCGCTGTCCGCCATGTTTCAAATTGGAAGTGATCGTGAGGGTGTTTACGGCTCCATCGACTCCGGCTCCAATTTACTTTGTATTGAAAAAATGTCACCCCTGTCCTCGTAACGACTGCTGTCTGGCTCCTCATTTTTGTCTTAAAAAATTTGGATTTACTCGCTCTACATGCCCCTGGTTTTTTTTGTTTTTTTTGTTTTTTTGATACACATGTAGTATATCTCTGTCTCTTTTCACTGTTTTTCTCTTTCTGTGAAGGTGTCATAGAGGCACAGTTATAGGCTTCAAGAGAAAATATGTGATTCATTCTTGCAGTATGCAGTTACGGTCAGCCCAATACAACGTGATTTTTTATCATTCTCTTGTATTACTTACTATTTCAACAGAGGAGGATCTACATGTCAAGATGTCCACAGAGCAAAAGGTACACCCCCCCACTTCCTACCCCCTCCCTCTGCACTCCGCTCCCCCTCTGTGCCCCTCCCCCGCTTTTTATGGGCCATCTTTGAAAGGTCAAGAGGTCGTTTGCGCTGTCTACTGTTCCTGCAGTGATCATGACAGTTAATAAAACCTGCAACGGGCCGCGCCGAGGTCAACTACAACTGTCCGGACATTACTTTTATTTACATGATCTTCCATATTGTCTTGTATTTAAGAGGGAAAAAAAACCCTCTCTTATTGCTTTGTTTTTGATGGCACTGCAGCTTTTCAACATTGTTGTGTTTATCTGAAATAGCAGGTAACTTGGAGATTTTTGTGGTGTAGTTTGAGCTGTGTTTCTACATTGGTTAGGCTAGAAATGTTTTAATTTGGAAGTGCACCTGATGTAAAAATAAATAAATAAATAAATAATCAGACTCTTAGACTTAGACAAACTTTATTGATCCACAAGGGAGATTATTTGCACATACTAGCTCACTCATCACAATATAATATAGTAACAAAGAGTAAAAATATAAATGTTAATAATAAATTCTAAATAATTAGTCAAAATAAAATAGTAAAATATGCAATAAAATCTCGGCTATTTACAAGAGGTCAAAGGAAGACAGTGCAACAATGATATGATGATTGACAGGACATAGGGTTATCTGTTATATAAGGGTGAGTTGTTGTACAGATAATCCATCCAGTAATTAAATTTGATGGTTGGTGTGTGTTTGGTTACACAAAATAATTGATTAATTGATTTGGAAGACAAAATATAATGAATTTTTAACGTCTGTATTATGCAAAATTGATTCTTGTGAACTGTAAGTCAGGTTATAATGCTGTTACCTCATTAAAAACACACCAGGAGTTGTGTTTTGTTTTGGTTCGCACATGTTTTATTAGTCTGTCTGCACCTCCATAGCTAAGGTTTGATGTATCTATCCACGCCCCCCCTTCTCTCCCTCTCTTTCCCCCCTCTCTATCCCCCTCTCCTCTGTATGTGCAGGAGAGCCAGATCAGCAGTTGTATTGTGCGGCTGCCCGTCCATCCCGGGACAACAACAGGAGGATCGATTGTCCATAACAGCCTCAGCGTGGACTATGGGGACTACATTAATCTCATATGTGCAATAATAATAGAGTGAGTACAATCATTAGAACGGAGGAGAGAGATGGAGTCTGTGACAGCTCAGAGAAGGCTATACTGATGGGTTAGGCTGGTACCATCCATGGGTTTCTGAGCGATGACAAATTTGCACCATTGTCATAGCAATTAGCAGTGCAAAACAATCTATTCTCTTTATGAATAGT